CAAACACTGAGAATCATATAGGGGATTATACCCCTCAAAAGTAATATTGAGCAGATAAATAACTTGTGGTAGGGGCTGGCAGAAGCGGGATGGGAACTTAACATTGGTGATGGAGTGCAATCCCCGAAAGCACAGTGGGCAGGCGTATGCGTCCCTGTTATTTGTGCAAAGCAATAACGTGGTAAAAACAGAAGGTGATTCAGACAGCAACTGTTGCCAAAGAAGGAAAGGAGGATGGTTTTCCAAGATCTTGTGGCTATTTTTATGGATGACAGAGTTGCTTTACCCTTCCAAAATGCAGACTAATTAAAGGAGTTGTTTTACGCTATGTACTGCATTATAAAATAGTTATCCTTAAAGGGATTTTATTCTTCTTCTTTTTCCAGACCCAAAAATTTCATGTGAAAGGCTTTTTCCTTCCTATATTCTGCTTGAAGGAAAAGAAATTTTAAAAACCACACTGAGTATTCAAGCAGATTTTTCTTTTTACCTCTCTGCCAATTCTATATATTAGTTCTTCAAAAGTTTTCATTACTCTCCACTATACCAATTTCTTACCATGAATTAACTGTTGGTTTGCTAAATTTAGGCAGAACATGGACTTGAAAATATTAATGTTCAGTGCTTTTACATTCTTGTAATATGTGAATGTGTGACTTCAGTCCTTAACGCACAATATTCACAGGAGCTCTAACTTGAGCTTTTCCATTCTTAAAGTGCTTCATCATCTCTGATTGCTTTCCATTTTAATTATTTCATTTAGTAATTATTTATTAACATTTTTTCAAATATAAACTTTCTATCTTCTGCCAAGCTAGTTTTTATAATTCCAAGAGATCAGAAACCTTTAGCTGTCTGCATAAACTTCTGTATATAGACTTTTAAAAGAGAATACTATGACCACCGAAAGCAAGTATTTTGAGTATTCAGATATGTGGTATATACATTTTGTGCATATATATCTGTGTTTATTGTAGCACAATGATGTCCACAATATTTTAATAATCATATATCTAAATGTATCTGACAACAAAACTTATATGGTTTTGTATTGGATTTCATTGTTGTTGTTGTTTTGTTTTGTTTTGTTTTGTAATCCTGCATAACTCTATCAGTATCCTTGTTTCTGAAGAACAACAAACTTACCAGTAAGTTCAACAGGAGATGTCTCCAGCTCTAACTCTGGTATCCTGGTCCTGATCCAAATGGGCACTATGCCAGGACATGAAGCAGACTGCTGTGGTAGCACTGATTGATGATCGTCTCCTGTCCCTAGACAAGAGCTATATATCCAACTTCTATTAATGCACCACTCTGCAGCATTAATATAGTTAAACTTGGGATTTTTCTGGATCCTCTCAGAGATGTGGCAAATTTATTGTCTTTCCTTTCCAGTGACTTTATCAGTTCCTTTTTCTCTGCACCTCAGAGTCCAGACCAGTACTTTCCTTGGATGTATCATCCATAGACTATGGTGTGTCAGCAATATACAGGTGGGGCATGCATCAACTTCTCTGAAAGCACCAACAATCTTTTCAAGGGGCCTGAATAACGTCTTCCACGTTCAGAAATCCAGCTGAATTTTCCATCACTGCAATGCACAGTAATATCTTTTACAGGATAGCTCTACATGTGTTACTCATACATTCAGTCAGTGCTTGTGTGTTGTATGAAAGCATTTCATTCTCAGTTTAGCACATTAGGGAAATGAAACAACTAAGACCACAAAGAAAGTAAATGTGGTCCTGGTTAAAAGCTGTCCATGTCACCAGTAGTCGTCCTATTGACCTTAGGCATTTTTGGATTAGTGCCCGTAAATATGGAATTAGATTTCAAGAACTATTGACTCAGTCCTTTTCAGTATAACTAAGAACAGTCATATTCTGGAGGCAAAGAGTCCCAGTGCACCTAGAAGGACGTATCAGGAGTGTTGGCTCCTTGCACTCTGTATGTGCTCTTGTAGATTGATCCCCATGGAAGAAATTGATGACAAAGCCATGTACTTATTTAACACAAGCACTGTTACTTATGAAGTCACATTTTCTTGAAAATGGCAGGAATTAGTGGGAAATATATGTATATATTTTCTGCTGCAATACCAAATCATCACACAATCCAAAAGCACCCTTTCTCAGATCCCTTTTGAGGCCATGGTATCTGCATTTGTGGACATGAGTTTCCAAGGTGCCATCTCCCTTAGATATGTTTTTCTTTGTATATGTACCACTGTCAATGGACTATTCAAAAAAAAGTACCTTTCAAAATGAACCATCTTTGCTTTGGGTAATAGCAAGTAGTTTGCTGTTGTTTCTGTTCTCTATTCTTGTAGAGAAGTTGAAACATCAGTACATCTAGTAACTGTCCTATAGAGAGAACAGCAATGATTAAATACAGCTGGTAACATTCACTGGCTAAGGATGTTTCTTCTTGGCTTTCTCATGGAATGTGAAAGATGCTTAAGAACAGGGAGAACTTGACCTTCTCTGTGTCTTCTTTTATGATCCCCTCCACGTGGTCCATCATTGTCTCAGAATGCTGTGGGTCTACTATGAATATTCCATTTCATGTGAAATTTCAAATCTGATTACGACTGTAGCTGATCCTACATCTGTCCAGATAGAGGGTCAAGATGCTTTCCTTGGCTTCTTTCCAGTCCCAGTTCTCCCTGATGCTAGGAGAGGATCGGTATGACACAGTGCATGGAGAGCTATCACGCTGTTCCACCTGGCATGCCATGGAGCTCTGCAGGCCACCTTAGCTGGGAGTGGTAATGATGGACTTTCACCTGCACCAGGAGAGTGCTGCACAGGGTGGCCTACTGGGACTGTCAGAAGTCTGGCTTGTAAAAAACAAGATCAAGCAAATTACAGAATCACAGAATTGTAGAGGTTGGAAGGGACCTCAAGAACTCATCGGGTCTAACCCCCCTGACAAAGAAGGTTCCCTAGGGCAAATTGCACAGATAGGCATCCAGACAGGTCTTGAATATCTCCAGAGAAGGAAACTCCACAACCTCCCTGGGCAGCCTGTTCCAGTTCTCCGTCATCCTTACTGCGAAGAAGAAATTAGAATAGCCTAAGGACTTCTTTGAATTGTATAGTGCCCTTTCACCTCTGACATTCTGTCTCGGCATTCACTAACCATGAATATTTAATATGGCCACCACGGCATCCTGTGGAATAAATGACAGACTCTGAGTTTCAAAGCTTAATCTGAAAAGTAATGCATACACATCAATATTGAAAAAAGCGTAACACCCAGAGCAAATCCTTTTTCATAAGCCCACTTATTAAAAAAAAGTAATGTAATATCATGAGTTTTCATTAATACTAGTCTTCAATAAGCCTAAAGCAAATCCTCGCTCACTGTGCACTTGCCATGGTTGTTGTACAGAACTACCTGAAAGTGATGAAGGCTCACAGTCAGTGCGTGGAGAGCAGGGAGTGTGCGGCTGAGACAGATATGAGTTCTATTGGAGTAGAGGATCTGAGTCTGCAGCTGTCTTTCCCAGAGAAGATGGTTATGGACATTTCACAGAAATAACAATGCTGATTTTCAGCCCCTGCAGAGTGCTTTACACCTGCAAAGTGCTATAAATGTTTGAGTTAATCCTCACCAGTAATTGAGTATGATTGTATTTGTGTTGCAGACACAGAAATTAAGATATGGAAATGTCAGCAGGCTAACTCAGGGCCACGTAGCTTTTCAGAAGCAGATTTAGGATGAAGAAACAGACCTCTCTGGTCATATTTGGTTGATTGTGCTGCCTTGTAGCAAAATGTATCTCAAATTTCCTAAACATTTAAAAAAAAAAATAATCCTAGAGAAGGAGTCATTTCCATCTTTGCTTCTTCAAAACAAACAAGCTCCCAAGCTACCAAACCCCGTGTTTACATGTATCATTAAATACTTTCCAGTTGCTAGCCAGAAAACTCAGCAGAAAACCTGTAGAACACCAAAGTAACTATCTTCTTTTAAATAATTGATGATGCCAAATAGCAGCAGTGTTATGCCAACAAAGAGATTGGTCTCTTAAAATATTTTATTCATTATGCCTCAAGAAACCCAAAGCCTTGTTTTTAAGAAAAGCAAATTTCAGAAGTTGGCTCTCAGCTCATCTAAAACATCTGCTTATTACACGTCTTTTTGTTAATGTACTGGTGTTCCCCCGTAAATCTTTCAGCTTTAAATAGTATGTATGGAAGTCTTGGCAAGGAGATCAGGAAGGAGAAAGAATAATATTTGCCAAATATGCATTTTATTTGATGGGGCTGTGGTGGTGCATTTTAGTGATATGTGTGTTGAAGAGAATCTGTTAATTCAATTAAATAACAGGACAAGAAGGACTTAATTCCAAGGTTCAGAAAGACCCCATCCTATGCTGCTGAAACTTTATGTTCCAGGATAAAAAGGTTAGAAGTCTTGGCTAACTACACTCATATAAAACAGCCAAAAATGGTGTTTGTAAATCAAGGTCACTTATGTCAGAAAGCTACAATGTGATAAATCTGTCTGACAATTAGACGGAGAGGGCATATCGATGTTAAATGATATTCTTTGTACATTCTGGTTAGAAGGCAATGGAAACACTACAGTAGCATTACAAAACAGAAAATTGCATTCCAGATAATAACAGATATTCATGGTGCATGATTTTACACTTTAATGTGCTGTATTTTACTCAGTCATGTTAATATTTTGAATTATGTAACATTCTCTTCCTTATGCATAGTTTAATTTTTTTCATTGGAATGGATCACTGAAAATGCACCCTCTCCCTCCCAATCCTTCTCTCTTTTTCCCCCTCTCCCTCCCTCTCCTCCTCCCACTCTCCCTCCCTTTTCCCTTCTTCCCTTTTCTCTTTTTCCTTCTCCCATTTTTAACAGTGATGCTTAAAAAAAAAAAAAAAAAAAAGCCTAAAGCAAAACTGTCTGTGCAAAAAAATAGTAATAAGTAGTTTCAAGATTTAAAAGCCGGGATTTTATGTTATATATTTACAGATTCAATCTGTGTACCAGGCTTTGATCCAAGCCTTAGCATGATGACTGGAATCACTCCGATTAACCCAATGATACCAGGCATGGGGTTAGTGCCGCCACCACCACCAACAGATGTGCCTGTAGTCAAAGAAATAATCCACTGCAAAAGCTGCACGCTCTTCCCTCCAAACCCAAGTAAGTGGGCCTGATGAAAGAATGTTATTTTCCTGAACTTATTGCCTGAGATGTTTTTATCTAATAAAAACTATGGTTTTAAAATAAATTGTAGGCAAGTCTAATGTTTCCTTATAAGTTCTGCTCTGTGTGTAGATCATGGTGGAGTATCAGAGCATGTTTATTCATCTCTGCAAGGTCACATAAAAACTCACGCAGCTTGTACAAAAAACAAAATGAATTACTTAAAGCTAACAGAGACTGAAAATCTACACTACTCATAGTAGAAATCTGTCTTTCCCTTACATCAGTGTCACAAAACATAACCCCATGCAAACTAGCAGTGGCTGAAGCTGCTGTGTGTTGTTGGTTGCTCATTGACCTGTTCGCGCTGATCTGGCCTCATGTAGGCTGTGCACAGGTGTCTGATGGTGAAAGCATTGCTGTGAAGAACAATCTCTGGGGATGTCCTTCAAAGAAGTTCAAGTCAGAAGTGTCTCCCGAGTGCTGTAGATTTCTCCCAGCCATGCCAGTTTTGGGGAGGCAGCATGCAGATGAGTTGCTTCTCCTCTTTGGGGACCAGGCTTTCTTCTGCCCCTTCTGGGGACTTCATGCAAATGGCAAACTTCCCACTGAGCCACTACTGTCAGGACAAAGCACAGAGCCTAATTTTGAGTGTGTTAGCCCCAGGAATCTGGTTTCATAGCCATCAGACCAGCTGCTTGCAGCATCACTATGAAGACAAAAGAGAAATTTAAGCAAATAGTCTGGTGCTGTGGATTTGCAGTGTACCCAGATCATGGTTTAATCAAACTGGCTGTGTGTGCGAATATATATATGTGGATATTTTAAGGTTGTAACCCCCTTTAGTGTGCTAAAGGGCCAAAAAACTAATTCATATCAATCAGAGATTCCTGCTCAGAGAATTACTGTTAGAGGAGTGCTCTAGCAATCTGCATATAAACAAGGTAAAATGTTATGACAGAGCATATTTTTCATACAGCCCTCAAAAATTTAATAGTTTTCTGATTTGTGTGTATACATATATATATATATACACAAAAATAAAATTTCTAGCCACTCCATCTCATGAGCACTTGTAAACAGTGAGTTTATCCTTCCTGCATGCTGGCGTCCACTCCATTATCTGGCACAAAGACAGAACAGATAACCGGCAGAGCGCTTTCATCATGTTGTCACTTCATCGTGTTTCCCACTTTGTTTTTCTGTTTGCTGTGCTTCTGTGCTCTGAGAAAGAAATTAAATTATGCTAAGACCAGGGAAGGTTATCCAGTCTGGCTTCCTAAACTATATGCAGCATGGGTTTGTTTTCAGGGGGCTTAAACTGGCACACTGGTGAGTGTGGTGAGTGCTGGTTATGAGCCAGAGATGATGAAGGTACAGAAGTTTGCCTGCTTTGAAACAGAGTATTTTCTATTTTTGTGTATTTTCTAACAGGAGACTGTGCAGGGAAAAGAAAGATCCTTTTAGACCTTCCCGCCTGGAGAATGACCCGCAGTGGCAGGAATTAGACTCTGAAAAACCACCTAAAACTTGAAAAGGTTTAGATTCAAGTAGCCAGTTTTGGACAATCTCTGCACTATTCAATTATTTTGCTTCTCCCTCTCTCCTGCCTCAATGCTATGTCAAATAACTGTTGCTGCCCAGAACTGATTAGGGGAATGAATAGAACCAGTGGATCAAAAGACGAATTTTGTATTCCAATGTGATTTCTGTTTTGACTTAGATCTTCCACCACCTTCAACAAGAGAGAGACCTCCTGGGTGTAAAACAGTGTTTGTTGGAGGATTACCAGAAAACGCAACGGAGGAAATTATTCAGGAAGTCTTTGAGCAGTGTGGAGATATAACAGCAATTCGGAAAAGCAAGAAGAATTTTTGTCACATTCGTTTTGCAGAGGAGTTCATGGTTGATAAAGCCATTTACCTTTCTGGTACTTCACATTCTTTAATGGATTTTCCTTGCTTCTCATTTGTATTTTGTGATGCTAATGTTTGCTTATTTTCTTAGCTTTTATCCCAGCAAGTCCTTTTTTTAACTCAGTGGCTCTAGCATGGACTGGCAAGGGGCAATTCTGTATATCCCTGTGTTTGCCAAGACTTGTGCTCTGTTTTGTACGTTGCATACCCAAGAGCAATTTCCTGCCATCCCACGACAATGCAACAGACCCTGAAATTCACTACAGAGCAATCTTATTTTCGATTTACACAGGTTTATGTAGTTTTGCTCACAGGTTGTAGAAAGAGGAGGGCACCAGGCCAGGAACGCTGCTGGTTTCCAATGCCAATTTCTGTGATAGCCTGGCAATTTCATTGGCATATTTTTATAGATTTGCAGTGCAGTCTGAATAAAGTCTACCTTTATGTGTGCATGTATTCAGCAGTCACCTGGGTTGGATTCTGAGACCCAACAGGCTGTGCCTTTTGCCTCCCAGGACAATGAGCACCACAGAACTTCAGGTGTAAAATTTCAGATTCTCTTTTGTTTTCCAGCAAAGGAACAGACTAAAAAATCTAACTCATATGAAAAAGAAAAAAAAATATATAAAAAAAAAAGAAGAAAACTCTCTCTGCTTTCTCAAATCAGTCTTCAGTGACTGTTAAAGCCCTTGTAAGGTTATAGCCTCCTTTACATGAGGATTGGCTTCCCACCTGAGCCCTACTTCACCACCCTGAGCTGGACCCCATCCCTTGTGTGTATCTCCACAGGCTGGTTCATCACTCCTTTCAGGTTCTGGAGGATCCCCTGTCTTTGTTTTGCCCCACAACACCTTCACCCCTCATGCAAGGTATTCATAAATGAACAGTGCCGGAGACTACTCCTTGGCCAAGACCAATTGACACAGATTTGCTTACCACCTTGTGTAGGGTAACCTCGAGGACTCCTCCTGGGACCACCCAAAAGGGCACTAGGGAGATAACAATTCGGCATACCTTGTCTGAGCTCCCATCCTAACCATCTTTTGTTTAGCAGCAAGGACATAGTTTCAATGTCCCTTAGGTGGCCATAGCAAGCTCACACAGTTAGAAACCAGTGGTTTCTCAAATCATCATTGGCTACATCTTAAATGAAAGAAAGGGAAATAAAAATAAAAAATAAAAGAAAAAGAACATAAGAACTTTTGAAATGTATTGTCAGGAAAAAGCTTGCTCTTTTGTTTCTTTTTTTTTTTTTTCTTTTTCATAACTTGACTGCATGCTTTAAATATCTGTTCAATGAGCTCCACAAAATCACGAGTTTTATGAGACCTATGTAAAGATTTCTTTAGAATATATCTGAATTTTAATGCTTCTTCCAGATCTCCATTCCATTATGTATTTTTCTTCTTTTTTTTTTTTGATTTTTTTTTTAATTATTATTATTATTATTTTTACCACATTTCTTCCTTCCTCTTCATCCTCTCTTCCCATTTTCCATCCTTTCTCTCATGTGCTTATTCACTTATTACTTCTATAACACTGGAGTTTAAAGAGAGGGCTTACAGACCTCTCAGTAGTAAGAAGAGGCAGCACATTTCCCAGTTTCCAGCTTCTGTCCTGTGGAGGCTCCAGCTCCAGCAGTAACAGAGCACTTGTGGAGGAGGTGAGAAGAAACTCACAAATTCAGTAGGAGCTGGGATTGCTGTATATAATAAAAGAAACAGTAGCAAAAAAGAGGCCAGAGAAAACTGCAGAAATGTACAGACTGCCATCCTGGGGCAGCGTCAGCATCCTGATAGCTCAGTTTCCTGCTTCTCTGCAGTTGAGTGCAACCTTTGTTTCATTCCAAGTGAAGTTTAATTTTAACTTTCTACAGAAAAATCCTAGAGCACCAGATCTGATGATTAGAAAATTCCCTGTGCTGCTGTGTGTCCTCACTTAAGTGTGCACCCATAACAAAAGAATCGAGCAGAGACGGAGGAGGCAGATTACCTTCCTTATCCTTCCTCTCTGATTTTTCTGCCAGCTTATTTCCGAGTTCCCAATCCTTTTCTCTGTGTTGTTCTCACATCCTTCCTTTTCCTTTCATCAGTCACACTACTGCCTTCACTGCCTGTTCCACTCTCTCTCCCATTTTCATTTCTTCCATTCATTTCCTTGCTTCTAAAACTTTTAGTGTTTCTGACCAGATCAGGGAAAATAAATAAATAAATAAATAAAAAGGAAAAAACAAAAGAAGAAAAAAAAAAAGAAAACAAAAACAACAGTGGAGCTGAGAAGAAGGAAGGAGAAAAGCAGGGGCACATAGCAGCCAGCTATCTTTTTGCCACCAGCAGTGATTTCTGCAGACCTCTGCAGATGAAACAAGGAGCACTGAATCTCCCCCAGCACTGCAAAGCAGGGAGGTCAGGCATTAGACAATGGCACGTTTTATTTGATCTGAAATTTTGAGTTTTTCTGATCAACCTTTCAAACATAATGTATTCTGAAATGATGGGGGAAAAGCATATTGTTAAGGTCTTTTCTTCTCCCCATAAGAGACAAAAAACGAACAGAATTTGTGGTAAATACAGTATGCGTGTTATATTAGGGAGGAATCATGCCTTTGATATCTGTAATATAATGACAGTTTTGTCTACCTAATCAGTTTTATCTGTCTACCTCATCTAATCTCATCAAACTTAATATTTATCCTGTGCTTATCATCAGAGTATTGCAAGTGATTAGAAAATTCATTAAGTAGATTATTCACTGAGTTTTTTCGTTTCTATTCCCAACTAAAAGTGTATAAAAGGAGACTGGGAGATGGGTAGAAGCTAATGTTAAAGAAAGTTGAGCTGATATGTTCTCATTTAGCCCTGAAAGTTTCATTTTGATCTCCCAAGGAAAAGGCTTTCTAAAATCAATATGCCACCCCATGAGAAAGCTCTTTCTTCAAACTCTGTGTACTTTAGTCTTGTGGCTGACAATTCATGACAATTCAGTAACTCCTGCAAACATTGATGGCCCTGGATTGGAAGTAAGGAACAAACAGACCTGCTCGTACCCCAAAAAGCCCAAGGATACATTTTTCCTGTGCTGGTATTTTCCCATGTGGATTTCCATTTAGTACTGTGTACTGGCTTTTATTTCATGTTCTCACTGATCACCAGCACTCTGATCTACATCCCCAGTTAGCAGCTATTGCCTGGTCCCCAGTATAGCAACACTCAAAGGTAAGTCAAGCCACAGAGTTTTTACAAGATCTGTGATATGGAAATACTGTGTTTGATTTTTATTTAGCACCCTCATTAATTTTTCCTGCTGCTGCTCCTTTAAAGTGAGGATCTTGGCATGTTCCCAGACTTTTTTTCCCCTGCCATTGTGTGCACAAAACTGAAATTAAAAATGACACGCTAGGCACGCTGTTAGTGCTAGCTGCAGTCCTGAGCGAAGAACTGGGAAAAAGGTTTTGTGAGGGCAATTCCTTGCCCATGCTTGAAGGGGGAAAAGGCAGGTGATTTTCTCATGCATTTAAATACCTTTGAACATCAATAAGGATACATGGCATTGAAAAGGAGTGAGCCTTTCAGCTGCAGTACAGCTCAGACCTGCTGTTACAGATGGGTGCCTGAGCATCCCATAAATAAAACTGGTCCTGCAAGTCATGCACCCTACCCTACACAGTGCCTTTCTGGCTATTGGCCTGTCAAGGACTCTGATCTTCACCAGGGATTCCTTTGGTCCTGTAGTGTCCCCCATTCCTGATTTAGGAGGATGCAAGAAGCCATGCCAAAAAGGCATTTACTTTTTTTTTTTTTTTTTTTTTTTTTTTTTTTTTTTTTTTGTGAAGGGAAAGATGCCAAGCTCTGAGCAGCCTGATATAATTTTGAAACCAACCCTGCTCTGAGGAGGGGATTGGACTAGATGATGCCCAAGGTCCCTTCTGACTAAGGTCAGTCTAGGTTTCTGTGCCTGGGGAAACCACTGTCTGACTGGCCATCTTCAGTCTTAGCAGTTAAACAAGCAATGCAATTTTCTCAATGTGGTTCACTGCCAATTTCAAAACTCTATTAATTTGGAGGCACTTAAACTGGTTACCTGAGGGAGCCATTTGTCCAGTGCTACAGAGGATACTGTGTTTTGGACTTCAATTTACACCATTTGTGTTTTTTTCCCACTATCCCCATTTACTTCAAAAATAAGGTAAGACTTCAGTAAGACTCAACTTTGCAGGTGCACGCACAACGTGTAGATAGAGTGTCCTTTCCAGTAGATCTTTGTTCAGAATAAGTAGGGCTTTGAGGACCACAAGGGTCGTGCTTCCTACAGGACTGCATTTCTCAGTGTGTCCATACCCAGTGTGCTCCAGCCAAGGGAGGCAAAAGACAAGGGAGAGGAAGAGAGACTGTGTCTTCCTGGAAAGTGCAGCCCAGATGGGAGATCTAATTTTAGGTTCACGAGACCTGACACCCTGGCAGTGTCCTTTCACATTGCTGATAATGCTGTTTTGGCACAGAACAGTCACTATTTGAGGAATGCATCTTGGGGAGAAACATTTGTCATGGTTATCAGAGTAACTGCACCAATGACCCCTTCATGCCTACACCCCTGCGAATAAAACCACAAAATTACCTTCTTATTAGTTCAGATCTCCAGGTCTGACAGGTCACCCACACTCTTCTTCTGTTATGTTTCAATGGATAAAGTGTACGGCTATGTTTAAGACCACAAGTACCCTTATTGTGGAGAAAGTAGTGTGTATTCCGCTGAGCAAGAGAAAGCTGTGCAAAGTAGAGGACATGTTAAAGTGACAGACAAATCCCTTGTTAACCTCTCTGCACCATAAGCTTGTGCACCATGGAGACCAGTCTTGGTCTGGTCCATAGAAGTTTTTGTCACCTTCAGGCTTTGAGGGACCTCTGAGATGCTTAACTTGAGCTTTCCATCTAGAGTTCTTGATGGAACATGAAAGACATACCTCTTCCTCACTGAACGACTACTTAGCTGAACTCCATAAGATGCCTGAAAGGAAAATGTCAAGCAAAAGGCACACAGATTGTTATTTGTTTGTTTGTTTTTCTCTTTTTGTTTTGTTTTGAAAGGGTCATTACATATGTGGATATCTTTGAAGCTGTGGTTTCATGTGTGCTGTAGTACAGCCAGTCCCTTGTATTCATACATCAAGATGTTTTTACAGCAGTAAAACAAACAGAGCATGCCTAGATACACATTTTTACGAAGATGCTCCTACTCTATTACACAAGCCTTAACTTTGCTGTCCCTGGAGAGAGTTTGAAAGGGAGTTTTAACTGTAGTGGTGAGGTGCTGAAGCTCTTCAAACCACAGGCAAATCATAAGACTGAAAGGTAGGTTCTTTTGGATTGATGTTCAAATGGAAGAAACACCACTTTTTCTGCCATTTTTAACAGCAGCTTCCTGTCCCTGGGGCTATTTCACAATGGTTATAGTAGTGCATGTTTCTGAAGAGCCTCTGATGTACCAGCTCAGCACAGAGTTCATTTCCATAGCATCCCATGATTTGAGAATGCTGCTGGGATGTTCTCCTCCTGTGGCCACTACAGCATGTTGACATGGGAAAATTTGAGCTAGTCCTGTGCAGACTAATTAGTTTTACCTGTATCTGAAGGCTCTGTTTACAGCTTTGTATTGGGGTTCTCTCATCTTCCCTGCATCAGCATTTTAAAAGTTAGAGAAACTGCTCTGTGAGTAACTCTCAGCCTTCAAAATAAAACTAGAAAAAAGCTTGGTGCCCAGCATATGCTCTTCCACAGTACGGTCATGAAAGTCTAAGGAGACTATAGCTTTGGTGTGATTTGTTCATCCTTTGAATGCAGTCAAGGGCTTCAATACATGGCAGGGCCCTGTTGTGCTGTTATATAGGCTCTGACTTAAACAAAGCCTTTGTAGTCTGGTAGCTTTAGCATATGACACATCGACCAAATTATGAATATGTAGAAGATTGCTAAAGATGAGATGTGACAGATTTCATTATTAGTTTTGAAAAAGGTCTTGCAAATGTCTAATAAATCCCTCCATGCTCTTAAAATTAGTTTAAAGAATGCTCAACTTAATGTTTTTTTGAATTGTTATTGACTTTATATCAGATTAACTTGTAGGTGGTTTATGTTTGCTGCCAGATTATTGAGATGTGGTATTTTCAATTGGGAGGCTTCAAAATTTGAGATCTAGCATCAACACAGGTATGACATCACCCTCTCTGTGACCCAGAAATTTACATAGCACACTTTTCTCATTCATTTATGGTCATAGTGTTATAAATTTCAGACTTTTCCCACACTTCCAATTCCATTGGCAGGCTGGAAAGTAATGCTAAACTGTACATGACCTAAACAGGATCAGGAGAAGGACTTTACATTCAAACAAACATAGTTTGTTTAGTATTTGTTTTTGTTTAACTGGCCTTCGCTTTTAGAAACGTTGGGAGTATCAGCTAGAAAATTGATATATTTGGAGTGACTCCTAAGCAGGAATGTAGATTCTGTACCTTTGGGGTTACTTTTTCATCTCATCTATTATGTTGATAGGTGATGCAGAAAATTACAAGGAGGGAAAAAAAGAAAAAAAAAAAAAAAAAAGAAAAAAGTGGATGAATGTTTATCTTCCTGTAAAAGCATAATGATTGATAGACCCTGCATAGATAAGGGGGAATACGTGAATGTACATTTTAACTGCACTTGAGGGGAAAAAAATAAAGAAAAAAATGAGCAAAGAAGTCCTGCAACAGTTAGTTCTGCTTGTTGGTTTCAGGTTACCGCATGAGATTAGGATCTAGCACAGACAAAAAGGATTCAGGTCGCCTTCATGTTGATTTTGCTCAGGCAAGAGATGACTTTTATGAATGGGAATGCAAACAAAGAATGCTGGCCCGAGAAGAACGCCACAGACGCAAAATGGAAGAAGACAGACTGCGCCCTCCTTCTCCTCCGGCAATAATGCATTATTCCGAACACGAAGCTGCTTTGCTGGCTGAAAAATTGAAAGGTAAGCAGCATTTGATACTTTGCAGTGCATTATGCCTTAAAAGCAGGAGCCATCCAGAAGTCAGAACAGGGGAGGTGATTTCTCTCCGATGTATTTCATTACCTGACCTGTTAGCCTTTCCCCATTCCTCTGCCATTTTTATGTCAGTGGTAATGATACTCACCCACCTGCTAGGAATGTATAGCATCTGTCCATCTAGCTGTGCTTTAACAGCCAAAACACAACTTTTAGAAAACTATAGAGTGGGATTTTTTTTACTCAGTTGATATCATCATCTGCTTTGGAAATCATCTCATAATAAGACAGGTTGTTACACACATCCTTCATATTAAAACCCTGATTCTTAAAATGCTTTTATTTAACTGGGAGATATTTTATTATATTACATGCATGTGAGTGTCCTAACTCCTGTTATTTAAATGGCCTTCATGAACCATATTTTAACATTGCCCTCAGTTGCAGTGGCACAATTTATCTCTGGCACACACCATCCATTCTTTCATTCCCTCTTTAGGGTTAGAAGTACATGCGCAAGATAACATATTGTTTTCTTCATGGTTTGCTTGCTTGTTTGTTTTTGTCTGGGAACACTCGCCAAGTTAGTATTTTACAAAGTTGAAGCTTAATGATTTCTGTCTTTTAAAGTTAACAAACAAAGCAAGAAGCAAAGAAATAAAAATATTCATAGTAAAGAAATAATAAAAAGTCACATAAACAACGCCTCATACCTCTTAGAGTTGTGTTTGTTTTCATTAAGCATTTAGCAACTGTGTTTGGCATTCTTTCCCCATGTGGTAGCCAAGCACATTACTTTACTGTGTGCCAGGTCACAAGAAACTGATTCTTGCCACTGTTTCGGAATTACCCAGATTAGACATAGGGTATCTAGCTGTCAACACGTTGGCCTCTGTTCTAACTATGAAACGTGTTTGGGAAGCTGCAGGAGGACATTGCAAAGTGTTGCATCCTTGGAGCATGGAGCAGAGATGCACCCTACTGTCTTGTTGAGTACTGCATTGGTCGCTGTTACATCAGCTGCTTGCTAGTTTGGCTTACTGATATTCTGACCACATATGCTTCACTATTAAATAACACTTTAAATAACTGAGAGATTGGTAAAATAACCCAGAGGGACTGATAGACCAAGAGGAAAGGAAGAATGAAGTCCATGTATAAGAATTTTTATTTCTTACCTAGCTTCCAGTCCAGCTTCTCTAGAGGTTATGCAATACAATACAGCTTTAGATCCATCTGTTCCCAGAATCTGTTTTCAATTGAATATTTTAGAAGTTAATCTTTTTTAGGGAAGTTTTTCTTTATGTAGCAAGGCCTAGAGGTTTCCTGAACTAAGCCAGAAAATGCAAGAAGTCTGGGCAATTTCTTCCATATGGCTGGCCATTGCTTAGGGCAAGTGAATGTGGGTTTTTGCAAGATGTTTCAGATGCTTATATTTAGAATAGTTTTTCTTTTCAATCTGGGAAGTTTCCATGCTTAATTAAAGCTTATTCCAAGTTTTTAGAGCTTTGGTTCTCTTGAAGGACATTTGACCAGAGCTTGTCATATATGCACAAGTTTAATATAGCAATGTTTTAATCATGATAGAGGCCAAATACTTCTCTGGAAATTAAAATAAACTTTCAGAAACATACAGAACTAAATATAAGCAATTAAGAAACCAAAATGTTAAGATTATTTTTAAAGGGTTAAAAATCACTATAATCCAGCAGCAAAACGTATTGCAGTTTTAAAAATGGTTTTAATTAACCATTGACTTTTAGTGAGATTAACAGCACCAGTTCTGCGTCTATATAGACTGTTGGAGATGGAGAATGCAAAGAAGCCCCCTCCATTCTCACTGGGTTGTCTCCTGTACTAGGTACTCTAGAAAGAAGAAATGCAATCCAGTAGTTTTACTGGTGCATGCTGCTGCATTTCCAATAGCATCTTGGCCGGTACCTATGAGGGAGAGTGTAGAATATTAAAACCTCCCTTGGGCAACACAGATTCACCATGAGCCCCTGTGTGACATCCTAAAACTAGAGGTAAATCTACAGTCTCTTACTCTGACAAGGGTCAGTTCATGTCAACACACACTCAGAATTTAAATGTGGGCTTCAGTGAAGCTAACAGAAGATATATATATATGCATATATTTATACATACGTATATTTATAAACTTGGGGTCAAAATATCATTTCTCTGGGTAGCACCAGATTTGCATTGCTTCAAAATCCTGGACAATCCATCCATCAAAATATATCTGCTCTTGGAAGGATTTACCTTGAGAGACTGGTTGTTGAGCAGATGCCTTGCAGTTATTTTCTTAAGGAAAGTCATGACCTTCCCATGGTACCCACTTCAAAAGTGTTCTGAGCTCTGTTGCTAACTCATGAGGTAGAGTTGCAGGTGCCCAACATGCAGGTTTCAGCACCTGCAGTGCCTCCAGAACTTCACTGAGCAACACTAGCTGAAAAGCAAGCCAAGATAGCTAAACATCTGTCATCCCAAGATACTGCTCTGCAATCACAGATGTAGACAACTTGGTCTGAGTCCAAGGAACTTTTGTTGTCAAAATAACCTTGGAAATTCCTGACAGCAAGGAAATCTGTTGGTGAGCAGAGATGAACTAGGCTCATCAGATAGTTCTCTGTTATGGTCTTTAGATATTTATTGTGTCTATAATAGAGGTGACAATATCTTTTTTCACCTCCCACAAACTGCAGCATAAGACTTAAAGAAATCATTGTTTTTGTGTACCAGACTTGGCTGCAAACTCTCCTACCAGTATTGCCAGCTTATTCCTGTTTATCTCATGTGCTAAAGACACCTGATGTGGCAGTAACTGGCAGATAATTTTTAATTTTGTATAGAGAGTTATTTTTTCCCTTTTTTGACCTTTCAAACCACTAAAGTTGACTTGAAGGGAGAATGATTAATTAATTAATTAAAAAATAAGTTTTTTTTTTTTTTTTTTTTAATAGTAAAGCAAAATTTCACTTTTTCAAAAGGTGTTTTTCAAACCTAATTTTTGACTCAATTATTCCAAAGTTGGATGTAAATGTGCAAATAGTTTCAAAAACCATTGTCTGATCACCAAGGAGTAAGATAAAAGCTAAGCCCAACTTGTGTTAGTTAAACTTCTAGCTTGCTTTCTGAGATCCTCTTGCCTTAGTTAAAAGTCTGTGTTTCCTCAAAAAATGTCTCAATAATTTCGTAGATATGATTTCTGAAAAATCAGGATCTCTTACAGTGAAATGTTACCGTCAACGTGAACTGTCCTCCTTAAAGAGCTTTGAGAATAGTCTTTGAATTCTTATGCAAACAAACACATCAAAATATTATGCCTTTTGCTATTATATTATAAAAATGTGACCTTCTTTTCTTCTGGTTCATTGCAGCTTTCTTGTTTCATGCATGTATTTCAGATTTTGATTCCTCGGTATTAAATCAGATGTGTTATTACTGCGCAGTGAGATGTGTCGGTAGATATTTGGGATCAAATTTGCATATTCTTACATCTGTTTTCCTGGGTGCTGTATAAATGGTTGAGTAACGTGGTGCCCAGAACATCACACAACTAGAGATGAACTGAACCTTTCATCTTTAAGTGGAATGCTGCTCTGTCAGGTGTATTGGAACAAATCATTTTAATCTGTGTGCTTATGACATTTGTGTTTCAAAGCAGAGTTTCAAACGTTATGGTATTCTTAATTCGAGCATATCTGTACCTAATGGTATCATCTTCAGAAATCACTTCTTGCAAATAAGCTCCTTTAAAATGTTACGTCTGTCTTATTTGCTGCAAATAGTTACATAGTTCCACCATTTAACAAAGACATCTCTTCATATCTGACTATCTGATTTTTAAATATTTTGCGAAAAAGAGACATAAACATCTGCAAGTCATATGCAATACCCTGATATTTACCTCCCTTTTAAATACAGTGTCTCTTTATGAGCACAGGAAAGTTTTTCTTGTGGTATTCCATTTAAAAAAATATATAATAATTTGAAAAATTGAGAAGCTGCTGCTTTGCCAGGCACTGTATTATCCCCTGAAGAGAGAACAGATTGGAAATTTAAATAAATAGATGGCAGTTACAGTAGAGTGAACTAACTGGGGATGCATCTTGTGCAAGATTCAGGTAACATCAAGCCTGACAATCTCAACCCTTGCACATCGTTTGAAATATAAACAACGTTTAATTGCTTGGGAAATGGGATATTTCACCGAGAAGAAAACTGCGCTGCTGTCGGTCTTGCTCTGCACTTGAGAGCCAGATTTGGGGAGTGCTGCAGATGCAGCACAGTTATCCAGAGAGGCAGGTCTCACACTGACGGGATAGAGCTCAGCACCAGTCTGTGTCGAAGAGGGAGGCAAAGCTGAGATCCTCCTAACAGATCTAATGTGTGCCAGGTTTAATTGTCGCTGAAAGACTCCAGACCTTTTTTTAGCACAGTCTTTTTTTATTAGTAGTATATCAAGGCACAGACCTACAATAGACATGCTTTGAGGCTTTAGCATCAAATCTGTTCGCTCACCCTCCCTGTTCCTTAAGATTATCATCTTCTCCTTCCCTCTTCCATATGCTGCTGACATCTGCTGTGGCACTATACATCTGGCTCAGAGTGCATCAGTCAGGGGCTACGAGCAGGCACATTGCAAGGGTGGTTTTGTCTCCTGGCAAAAGAGTGGAAGGTGGGTTCAGCTATCAGTGGCCTGATAACCCACTTCCCTTGGCACTTCATTCCGTAAACCTGCAAGAAATACATTTGCTGTTAAGTGTGTTACCAAAAGTGCCCTCCCTCACCTAATCTGTATTATATCAATGCAATTTTTAAGGTTTTATTATAAACCCACTTGATTAAATGTGCAGCACTGCAAAACGACTCGAGTTAATTACTATGAACTGGGAAATTGCAGCTCACTGATCTGAAAGTTTGTGGTGTGATTTTTGAGAAATAGGGAGGAAACTCAGTACCTTCATAATTACTTTTTA